GCGGAGGGCAGGTGCAGCGCGGCGCCCAGCTGTTCGGCCGTGCGCCCGGCCGCGCCCATCCACGCCAGCGCCAGCACGGCGCTCGCGCTCAGCGGGGACATCACCACGTTGCCCTCGAGCGGGCCCAGTGCCTGCGAGCACAAACAGGCTCTCTCTCTCACACACCGCACGCCACGCCGCCGGGCGTTGGCACGCTGCCCGGGGTGAGCCGAGTCTCAGTCGATCGAGCTGACGTTTCGGCACTCGTGTCGTGGCCTTCTTCAGAGTTATACTGCTCATCATTTTAACTCTGAAGAAGGCAAAAACACGATGGCCGACACGCTAACTCGATCGACTTAGTCGCGGCTCAGCCCGGTCAGCTAAGTATCCAATGAATCCGGCCGCGGAAGCCTACGAATACACTCTCTACTACAGTACCGGCTGCGTATAAGCCACTGACAGGTCTCTCACCAGCTGCTGAGGTGCGTCATGTGACCTGTTCTGAAGCAATCAGCTTGCGAGGATTTGTTTTCTTTCTCACAGCCAGGGTTCAGCGTTGCCGCTCATTTGACTCACTCGAAGTAGTGAAAGCGATAAGGTTCCGCTTTGGCAAGAGTTATGAACGTAATATCAGGACGTGTTTTAGCCTGTGAGTAAGTGTTAATTTTATGAGATTTAATTAATCTGTGATGTAGGTGAAGCGTTGATGCCACACATTACTAATACACATTGCATTGAACTGTCAGTTTCGCTTATACGCTGCTGGTACTGAACGAATAATGTCTACTTGACAGCTCCCGGCTGACAAGGGAGAGGGGGTTCCGTTATCCGATCAGAGGCTTCAAATTGTGATGATGCCACTGAAGATATGATTATGGTTATTATGAAAAATCTGAAATCTCATAGCGCGAAGCAACTGTAAGTTTAAGAGCGTCATTACTTCTTTCGTTATGCACCGTGTGTGTGGTTCTGTGTCGCCTACTATTGTGTACTCTTATTGCGGTTTGTTTCTTGCTACTGTTGTGATCTCGTCAAAACGATCACACGATCACGTATCTGCCGCCCGAATACGTGGCAACATCTCTCTACCCCCCACCCCAGTTGTCAAGTAGACAGAAATATTATTCGGGCAATAGGGAACAGCACGCGGGCCCAGTAGACACACACACACACACACACACACACACACACACACACACACTTCGTGTGCCCTAGCAATTGCCTTTTCTCTCAACGTCGACAGCAAATCAGCACCCATACTTATACTGCACACCACACCCCCGTATACACATCACTGTCACATAATTCCCATATTGGTTGTGTTGATACTTTATTTCATTATGTGAAAATGTGAAAATGTTCTAAACCATTGGTGTCGAACTTTCAAAGCCTCAAGGGCCACAACTAATGCCTTTCATATGATTGATGAACATATGTGAAACGCCCTTCTCTTATTGTTGATCTCGGCAGTCTGCCCGGCTGTTGTAAAGCTAGGGAAAGGAGGAACCATACGCGAGATCAGGTCGTACCAGCATAACGCAGGGAAATAAGTTAGGATGATTATGAATTCCTGAATTTACGAGAAAAAAATCTGACATCTTAACTTAAGCGTGAGTTAGACGCGCAATGTTGTAGCCCGACATAGCATCAAGGGACTTTCACTTTTGACTGTACACAACCTTTTGCAGGACACAAACGTCACCGCGAAGTTGGACAAACCTGCTCTAGACCACAGTGTAAATAGGTCTATTTGTAAACAGGTCCAATACGAATAAATATGTCTACAGTCTGGAGAATATTCCATTCTTTTCGATTCTTAAACGGAGACAGTAAATTATTGACGAGCGTTGTTGCCGTTAATGGCATAAAGAAGTTACATTTCTTAAATTAGCCATGTAGTTTCTGAAAGCACCCACCATTAAGTCTCATTGCTGTTGGACATACAAATCTACTGTGCAATAAAACTGAATGACCACGTTTCAAGACTTGTTTCCAAAAATGGTTAAGGCGACCTGTTACGCTTGTTTGGTAAACACCACCTGTGTCTTGTATTTTTGCACCGATTCTGAGAGACCTATATTTTAAGAAAAATCTCCTATAACAGTGTTTTTCTGCGTAGCCATGATTTTTGATTAGTTTGAGCTACTCAACTGTGCTTGATATGTTTGAGTAGATTTAGCAATTCTTTTCAAACGTGTCATCAAACTTCCTTATGTTGCCATGCAGGGAAACCGTGTCTCAAGGCTGAAAAGAAAAACTGTAACATTTCCGGATGATTGAAGGGGATTGATGAACACACAAAAACTGTGGAGTCTTATCAACAAACTGACACCTTCGTACGACAAGCGAGGATATGTATGACATTGATTTGGTAGCGTAACTTAATAGGGCACGTTATCGCTCCGTATGTCACGAGATCGACATGCTGGTGCTTGCAACATCCGGTGTGTTTTGTAGCAAAGAGTGGGGATTTCAGAGGACTATTTCATTTCGTCCGCTTCCGGAAAGACCGTGCGTGAGAAGCGACGGACATTCAACCCTGAATTTATCCAATAAATTCATTCTTCCTGGAAGTACTTAATTTCATGGGTATTTCTCAAATTAGACGATTATGCTACACAATTGGCAAAAACCAAGGTTATGAATTATCGCATCAAAACCAAGGTCTGTTAGCATCACTAAAAGCAGACTAGTGTGCACAAATACTTTTTTATATAGTGCCCAGCAAAAGCGATTACGTTTAGAGAATGTAAAGCGTGCTTAAAGTTTAATTTTTAGCACCATGCCGAAAGTGAGACGATGTTCAGATAAAACTGAATACAACAAAGAAAACAAAATACTTTCGCTTGATAGCATCAGCTACTACTGACCTTAATGTAACAGTGATTTGTATGTTTGAATTAAAATAAATGAATGTCAGTAAGGTTGAAAAAAATGCATGGCACATGAGGTAAAAGAGATTGCTGTAGGGATTCCTCACTTGGTCTATCGGCCTCGTGTCGCAACATTCCCTACACGCAAAATAAAATGAAACTTTTACCACTATCATAAATATTATGTAACAATGCGAGTATAGATATTGAACGGCTAGTAACGCAGGGCTCCATGTTTATAAAGAGGGTTTTAATAATAAATAAAACTTGTTGAAAGGATGTTCAAGAGAAGGAAGAATATTATTCAAATAGTTCCAATGTTAACTTCACGTGTAGATGGAAATTTTCAGATCGAAAACTTGTTTACGTTATATTCTTTTGAATAAAGGAATAAAATCATGATTGTTAATTTTAATCTCTTGATAGAAAAACTGTGTTAAATGTTGGTCCATTCAGAACAGTTATAGAAATACGTGGATTTCTTGTATTCTACAGGAAGAGTATCATCATACATTCCGCCGACCACTATTTATATTACATTATTTTTTTCATTATCTTTACGAAAAATGTGTGAACCTGCTGGGCAATCATTTTAGAATTCAATCTCTATGTGGCATATGAGTAACTGCGAGTGGGCGGATCTGTCTCACGAGTAGACCACTTCCCGTGCACCAATCGAGACATATGAGGTGTCATTCGCGGTGCCTCTGTCTCCTAGTGGAGAACTGAATTTGATTTCCGAAACAACCAGAAGATTCTAAGAAATTTCCAAAAAATAGTTTAAAAAAACGATGTTTTAGAAGATTTGCGATAAAATTTTCAGACCTAATTTAGAATGCTCTTACTATAGAATAACACTGAAGAACAGCTTCCAGGTGATGTTTTATGTGCGTTTTTGTGATTAGCAAAATAAGTGCGAAATTTAGACTAAATTATGAATATTCGCATAATCCATACCTGCAAGCAATTTTTTACAGCAATTACAATTTGATATTACCAGTTCATAACTCTTGGAGGTACCATAAAAGGCCGTTGGGTGTTTGTAATTTTGAACGGAGTGTAACAGTAGTATTAGCTACTAGGATTCATTGGCATGTCCCATGCGAGATACTGTAAGAAGTTATTTCAACAAAGTAATATATGACCTTTAGATATTTTCAACACAAGAAAACACTTTTAAAACAGTTTTTCCAGCGTTGGCCACATACAACTAGTTATTTTATGAGATGGCGAAATTTCTATTTGAAAGGATGTTGTGATGTCAACTGCCTTTTTTTTACGATCAATTTTGTCTCAGTAAGATATTTTATTTTGTTTTGAAGATATATTTATATTTTATGTTTTGTTTAAAAAACACATCAAACTTGAGTTTTTAGCAGATCGTTCTCTCGTTCGTATAAAATATTTCAAGTAATAATGAAGAAATGTGTAAATAAATACTGGCTGTAGGGTGGCAAAACTTTCTCGAGTGCGAGACGTGTCTCAGAAGACCTGGAGGAAAAATCGCTCAACCTACTTCCCCCCCTTCAACACGTTTACAACGATGAGGATGGGCAGAATTACGAGTCTTCTCCGTTTATGGTTATTGGCGCTGAGGCCAAGTTAAAAGAGTAGACGGCAGTAGGCAATCAATTAATATATTTTTAAATGAAAATTGGAAAGTGAAATGTGTAAAAGTCAGCAAAGTCCTACGTCTACCTGATCGTCAAATGCCAAATGCCATACCAAAAGGCAGATGAGGTCCTATAACATTTAATTAAATGTCTTTTTCGAAGTATCAGTGTCTAAAATGAAACCATAAATTCCATTATTCCGTAGGAAAGTGATTTCGGCAGACAGGAGTCTACAGCAAATTTACGAGATGGTCGATGGATGCAAAAGGGGCTACTGCAATGCAAGGGTCAAACAACGACATGTAATTGGCGCCTAATACATATGGCGTAATTGTGCTCCAATCTATCAATCAATATATCTGCAAATTCACAGTTTATTTTTTTTCTATTTAACCAACTATAGGTTGGTATGGTTTTGTTAGACTATATTTCAATTCTATTTAATTATAGGAATACTTTAGAGCTCTTCGTTAGAAATTATCTGAAACTTTCATTGGCAAATTATGATGCAAAAATATTTTGATAAAGCACTCCTATCCCTTGGGATATGAATGAGTTTTGAAATGGTAAAATGTTGATTGTAACTACATAAGCCCCACCGATTTCAACGCGGCCCATCAACTGGCAGACGGGTGAAGAGGCACTTCACTATAAACCTGCAAATTTCGCCCCGAGGAAGGTCGCAGCGTGACTGCCTTGACGTTGGCAAATGTATCTTGGACGCAACGTCTCCCGGACAGTCAGGAATCTACGAAGCTGAAGCCTACAGTTCCATCGTGTTACATCGGCCTCTCCCTGCGATTTAACCTCAAGACGTAGCAGGTAAGCCCGTTTTTTGATGGTTCGAACTATGAAGACATAATACGAGTCTTATTGTACACCCTGGTCAGGAGCGAACAATGTTTTAGCGGTATCTGTTACATTAACATAGATTTCAGCGTTGCCACGCGAAGGTTGTGAGACAAAAGATTTGCGCATGAGCAGTTTAAGGTTTTCTTGAATCCCGGAATCCCTCTCCTCATTCCGTTACCAACATTATTTGAATTAATAATAAAAGATAGCAACTTACTTTGTGGATCAAATTTGAAGAATCATGTTAATTGTTTATTATTTACAAAATAAATTAATATATTTGTTCAAAAATAATAATAAAAACAATCGAATTGTGTAAATTGTGTGCTTTTTTATTGCTGCGATAATTTTTCTTTATGAACAAATATTTATTTCTTTTGTAATAATAAACAATTTACATGTTCTGGGATGTTTATATGTTTCTGAAATGCAAATGACACACACATTTTTTTCTTGGGCGCTTATTGTGGCTCAGCCATTCGAAATATCGAAGAAATTTATTAGATAAAATATGCTTTAATGGCCTCAAGAGTTTATTTTCGAAGTTTCGTTATTTCCTCCCTAGGCATTCTGTACGTAAGCGGCATTTGACACGTGCAATGCCCGCAGTCACTCACCCGGTAGATGTCGATGGCGAAGGCGTTGTTGGCGTCGGCGATCTCGCGCCTCACGCTCTCGTCCGCCGCCGGCGCCGCCTCTGTGGTGGCGTCGCACGCGACGTTCGCGACGCCGCTCCCGCACACCAGCACTGCAACACCAGCCCTCCCTCAATGCTCCGCCGCGCCAGCACTCGCGACCAACGCTAGCAGCCTGTGTTAAATCATTGGTTGACTAGTTGCGCGCGGCGATGGTGTAACGGTTAGCGTATCGGACTGTTGTATCCAAGTTGGCGGGTTCAAAGGGTTTTGGGGGAAAAAGTCCTTCGTTCGGCCTTACTTCGGAGGGGAAGTAGAGCCGGCTGTCCCATGTTATAGATTTACTTGCATGTAAAATATTCTCAAGCCTAAATGACGCCTCTGAGCTAAATTCAAATCGCCTGTTTCTTGTCCAAGAAATACCTCCTTTCTCAGCTAGTTGGTGAAAGGGGCGTAGCGAAATTTGCGTGGTCAGACGGAAGAGCAGGCCTGATGGACCGAGTCTCGCCACGTAAAATAAGGCATAAATTCAATTCAATTCAATTCATTTCAATTCGTGATTCCGGGATCGTCAACTGCTAAGGTCATTAGTCCTGTTTTTATCGCGGGACGTGGCGGTGATCTTTCCCTGTTGGATGGCGAAATCCGGTGCCGACCTACCGTCGGCTAGCGGGCTTTTCCCCAACCAGGTATCTCCCACCAGCGGGGCACCGTCTCAGCCGGGACTAGCTCGTTCGTCCCGGGACGCGTCCGACAGGTCTCCCGAAAAGTGTGCTAGTGTAGTGCTCGTGAGTGTGTTTATAATTAAGAAGTGAGGATAGTATAAGGAAGAGGAAAGATCGATCGTGGGCGGTCCGTGGCCCGTTTGTTATGGCACTACTCCGGCTTTCGCCTGGTGTTGATCGGAGAAACCACCGAAAACTACCGATCAGAGCAGTCAGCCGTTAGAATTCTCCGTCAGGAAGTGGCTGAATTCGTCATAGTTGTCAAGCCAGTGTCGTAAACTGAATCAACATGACTTCGTAGAGAGAAAAGCAGACCTTTCGATTTATGTCCCCCAATCGCGCACCCAAAGGGGAGCTCATGGAGCTACAACGTTCCCAGAAGCCGATGATTATTTACAAATATAGTAATTTAAGAAAGTATTTCAATATCTCAGTTGAACAAGTTATTTATTATTATAAATCAAAAACATTTTAAATTAAACGTGTATGAAAAAATTTATAAGAAAACAGTCGACAACACTTTTAGTTAAATCACCCCAAGAAAAATTCTGGTTGAAATACTGCCCAAAATTAACGAAATTTCTACATCGAAATGCTTTCTTTTATTAGTTTTTCGTATTACTTTACTTGCTTTAATGCAATTGATATTAGGCCGCAGACTACCCTGTATTTTTTTGGTTGCCCCCTTTTCAAAACCTTATATTGAAAGAGAGCTCCCCATATATTTCTTTTTAAAAGAAAGGAGAAGAAATTTTTAATATATTTAGTTATTCTTCCCCTAATAACGTTCCAATTCTGCACATTAATAAAAACTAATTTATTGCGTGATACTTTGACGTTTTAAATGCATTTTCACTCAAGAAAAGAATTGCTTCTTCCATTTTGAATTGTTCCAGAACCTGTGGGGTAGCATCGCCTAAAGGTTTTTAGCATTTGGGAAGAGGGGCTCACAATCCCAATGAATTACAGTCAACGTGCCAACTTTGAGTATATTCTGATTACTATATCATCCTTTTTCAATCTATCTTTGGTGTCAACGTAATATGAATTAACGGGTGGGAGTGAATGAAATTGATGTAATGGAGATAATAGCAATAGAGAGATGGAGGAAAACTGGAAAGCGTCGGACAACCATGCGGGAACCGGCTTTGTCCACCCTCGAATTTCCACGTGGATCGACCGGAATTCGAGGCCCGGTCCAGGCGGCGGTGGAAAGGCAACGTGGTGTGCCTGCTCCCCGGGCGCGCTAGAGGCGTTGCTCTAAGAAGGAACTACTTTGACAATAGTCAAAACAAAACCAAAAGAACCGCATAAGGGGCAATGGCATTGCCAAGAAATAGAAGATGAAGTCCATTTACCAAATTAGCTCAACCATAAACGAATGAATTTTGCAAAATGATGTGCTGGGACCATAAACCCCGCATTTATATTGCGCAGCAATGGTCCGCAGTAAGCGTCAAAGCGTCCCTTCTTGATAGTCATCTCTCTATACCAATAAACCTCTGTTCAATGTAGTGATGGATGACAGGATGTAGTTTTATTGAATAGATAAAAAACCGTAATTTCAATTGATTTTGGTGCACAAACTTGTAGTACCCCATTCACCGGTCAGTTTTTTGAGATGTAATTTTTGGAGACCTCTCGTTCATTCTACCTCGTGTACACGAGACTGTGTATATCCGTATAGACTATCATCTTTTTTCCTCCAAGAAACAAATACTATTGTTTGTAAGTAAATGCTCCATTTACAAACTTTCAACCCTGGTTTTCTGGAAACTAGGAATTCTGGATTCAACCAATGTGTGTGCACTAAGCCATTCCGGAATGAAACATAGAGGAAGCAAGGAGATGGAGCGTACACTTTTTAATTTGCGTGGTTACTCTTCTGCTTCTTATTGTATCCATCCATTTGCTCCCGTTGCAAAGGACTCTCTCGTTTATCTTGGATATCTTCTTCTGTACTTTCTCGTCTTCAAGCGTATCTTGAGGAGTGGCAAAGGCTCGGGCATCAGCGGAGTCTAGGGCCTTCAGGCATGTACCGAAGCCGAAGGCTGAAGCTTCCGAATCCAGCGAACAGCATTGGTAACATCATCGACGTCTTAATTGTTCCATTAGTTAAATTATTAACGTCATAAAAATTCCCGCAACCTCGTACCGACTTTGGAATTTTCTGACGTTATTTAAATTTTTGTACAACGTTGTATAATTTTTTTGTGTCTGACCGTAAGAACTGCATGGTTATGCTTTTTTTTAATTTTTAAAGCTCATGTTTTTAAAAATAATATTTTAAGGTTTTATTCTTCAGTAAAATAATTGACATTATGAGATTTAAAAAAAATTGTTTAGTTCTATGATGCAAAAGATTGACTGTTTGAGAGTGTGAGCTCTAGCTTCTTAGACTATATGTGCAAAGCAGGTTTTTGTAAAGAAAGAAGATGCAGCGTACAATTTTGGAAATCGTGGCTTATAATTATTATTATATTATTATTATTATTGATTATATTATTATTATTTTATTATTATTATTTTGATATTATTATTTTATTATATTATTATTTATATTATTATTATTATTATTATTATTATATATATTATTCTTTATTATTTTTTATTACTTATTTTATTATTTTTATTATTATTTTATTATTATATTATTCATATTTTTATATATTATTTTATGATAATATTTTTTTTTAATATATTTCATTATTATTATTTTTAATTATTTTTTGATTTTTATATTATTAAAACCAACCAAATGATGTCAATGAATAACATCCAATATGCTATTACAATGACAAAATATAAAAGTCATTAATAACAAATGTATAGTAACATAATATTAATTCTTCCGATATAGTGTTTAGTAACGTTTTTTACGTTGGAGGTGGAGTACAGCTTTCAAAGCTCGCTTTCCAAGAAGCGCCTCCGCAAGTTGAAGGGGCTTGCGCGGCAGTGTTTTGTTCTCGCCGAACGCGCGTGACCAAGGCGCCCTACTTTCCGTCGCGGCGGGCGGCGGGAGGGCAGCGTGCGGTGGCGCGTGGGCGGTGGGCGGTGGGCGGTGGGCGATTTGCGGCCGCGATCCGAGGGCGATGCGGGCGGCGCCACGTCCGTAGGCCTCGCCCACCCCCGCCCACCCGCCCACCGCCCACCGCCCAACGCCCAACAGCGGTTGCCGGTGAACACCTGCCTCGACCGAGCTCGATCTGCAGGCACCAACTCTCTCAAACGGTAAACGAAAATAAAAATTGTTGGGGAAATAGGTTTATTACGAAATATCCTGCAAATGTAACTATTCGTATTTTTGTCTTCATGTTAATGCAGGATGATACATTTTACAACAGATTATTTATTGGGACGTCACGGTATGCTGATGTTTAATGTATGAAACCTGAACATCTCGTCTGCATTGTTTGAGGATCAAGCAAAATAGGAAGTTTCACAGGTTTTGTTTTGTCCAATAACATTGAGGTTGTGTACGCAAAACGTTTCACGTTCGTACGAACGTACGTTCGTATGCCATTTACGATCCACTTGAGTAGTATTCCAAAGAATCACACGCTGCCAACGACGGGGAACCCCAAATACTGTCAAACTCATCTTGACAAAATCTACTCTCTTGGTTGTCATCCTTATTACACGGCTGAAAGTGTACATCCTATACAAAACTGATTTAATCAGTAGAACTGTGCATCGTAGGCATAAGCGTATTTGGAAAGATCTACATGATTTTTTAAGTATGAAAGCTTTCGAAAGTAACTAGTCCTGTTTCCTTAAACAAATACAGATCTCTTTTATTCAAAATTTGTACAGACAATGGAGCATGACATATCTCAATTGCGTACTTCAATAGTAATTTACATTACAAGGCAAGAAAGTGGGCGTTTTCCATGACTAGTTGTCCGGAGAGTTCCCGGACGAGGCCATAACTTGAGTCTAGAAACCCCGTCGTGTCATGGAAAGTCACTTTTGTAGAGTGATGTACAATATTTTAATCGAGGTCTCAGTTTTATGACAATATGTCAGTGTGATTTACAAATTTAATTTACGATCACAAGACCATACTATGTATTTTTCAATCCGAAGGTTGATATATAGTTTACTTTTGATGCTTGGCACTTTCACGTGAATTTAAAGGATATTGCGTAACATTTGCAATATAGGAAAACTTCGTATTCGACAATTTATTTGGAACTCCATCAGATATTTTGGAACAACTTACAGCAGCTACTTCACTGTGTGAAGGTCATGGCGACTGGAAAAGCGAGTGCTTTTCAGAAGGATATATCGATGAATCAATCAATAACAATATTAAAAAACTGCTAACAATATAATTCTCTGTGCTGTCAGTGATAATGCAACACATTCATTAGGATTTGCTTCGTCAA